GTAAAAAACGAGTACTGGCAGGATAAGCTGTGTTGCCGTTTTGGCTTCGGGGTAAAAACAGACGGAGAAATACCAGATTGTGAGGTATTTAAAGTATCAATATACTTAAGGTATCAGATTATGAGTTACTTCAGGTGTTTCTTACGTCATCCAAAGTACCAAAAAGACGTTTTTTTAATATCCCAAAAAAAAACAAATGCGACCAAAAAAATCGTAAATTTCGTGTAAATTCAAAAGCATACCTTAGCAAGAATTTCGGATGGACGTGGCCGCATCTTCTCCATTTCCGCCACAATACTAGTAGTAGCAGTAGAAGTAGAAGTACCACCAGAAATCGTGCCTGATGTTGCTGTTCTCAGTGTGCTGGTTGCTGCGGTTAGTGTGAGCGATGACTTCGAAATTGATGAACCAAAAGAAGCTGGTCGTAAAGAGGGAAAACGTGGAGGTGGAGGGGTAGTGGGTTTTGCAGCGGTTCGCCAGGATGTCGAAAATGATCCCTGCGAAGAAATACTACTGCGTAGGGGAGGAGGTGTTTGAAAAGATGATGATGATGCTGTTGCTGGTGCTACTGCTGCTGTTGCTGCAATGGATGGTGGTGCTGATGGTGGCGCATCTAGTGAATATGAAGTACCACTGATCTGCAAAAAAAATGCATGATTATCTACTACAGCAAATTTTCCCATACTTATGATTCCAGGAGGAGGTTATCAGTGAGGTAAAGAGACTCCATGGTACACCTGTACGGTAACACATGGACTCGGAGAGAACAACAACGAGAAGAATGGAGAAGTTGCCAGCTGCATCGATGGCGCGACACAACGAATGTCGATGATATACAGCTGCTCAAGTATTCAGGTATTATGATTCCAGTACAATCATGATTCCAATCATAATACTTGAATAATACTCGGAATCACAATACTTGAATAATACTCGAATAATACTTGAATACAATCGTGATTCTAGTACACTGTGTCGATGATTTTAAATACTTACGATTCCAGAAAACTTTAAGATATCCGACCCATTAATCTGTGTCGACAATTTCAGATACTTACGATTCCAATAAATTTTACGATAATGCGACCGAGTAAATTCCCCGGTACTTAAGCATTTCGTGAATTTTTCAGTACCTACTTTTCCAGTAAACTTTTGGGTGCTTACAGGTCCAGTGATTTTCCTTTCGTAACAATCACAAACGACTACTGTTTCCTGAAACAGCGAGAGAAAAAAATAGCTATTACTTAATGCTAATAAAAACCACAACATATCAAAAAAGAACTCAAAAATTTTTTCCCAAATTCAATCCTTATGCGTTAACTGCATGAATGGGTTATTGCTTTACACCTAGCTTTTGCGCTCAAATAGCGCAAATCATCATAAATTTTGCATAAAAAAATGAACAATTTCGGTTTAACGATCGCTGTTTGAAAGTAACCCAGCTGTTCAGTGAGCAATTTTCCCGCCAAAACTTTTAAGTGCCCGTACGTAAGAACCACGCATATCTCGAGGCTGAATTTGAAATACTTAATTTGTACTTGGAGAGGGGAAATTCCCCTAAAATTTCAACTTTCTAGCCAGAAACTTTCATACGCCCTTACATATATACCACGTACTGCAGCTGAATTTGAAAAGCAATTGATCAATGGCGAAATTGCCAATGGAACCCTCCTTTTCGAGAGTTGCCTGATAGCGGTTTTGGCTTCCTATAACATATTGCGCGACGGAACACTTGAATACTTGAGCAGCTATATGTCATCGACGTTCGTTGTCACGCTGTCACGTCATCGATGCAAAGGCGCAAAATGAATGAAATAAAAAAAAAACCCAAAACTCACCGTTAGAGGTGGAGGTGGGAGTGGTGGTGTGGAGATCAGTGATGAGCTTGAAATCGAAGAAGGCTTTTGCTGTGGTGGTGCTGCTGCTGCTGAAAGTGTTGGTGGTGCTGGTGGTTGGGGTAGGGGTGGTGGTGGAACACTGAAATTGGGTGGAAAAGGTACACGTGCCTGGAGTCCAGGTGTGGTGGTACTGCTGCTGTTGCTGCTACTGCTTTCATGAACAACGCTTGTTGTTGTTGCTGTTGGTGTTACTGGAGGTTTTCGGAGTTGGTGGCCGCCGGTCGCTACGAATTTTGGTGATGCAAGACTCGGCTGGGGGGCAGGAGGAGCAGCAGAGGTGCTGGAGGAGTACGGGAAAGCACCGATAAGGGATCGTGGGGCTGAGCAAGAGGAGGAAGTTTGCGGTGGCATAGGTGGAATCGTCACACTGGTAGCTGGGGATCGGCGGCTACTCAACTTTTGGCCATCTTTCGAATCCGATGTACCCGTGATGCTGCCTGTATTTCGAGTTAGCGTAAATGATTCTGTGAGAGCTGCTGCCACAGTTTTCGATGCCGTTGTCGCTGTAGTCGTGGCGAATGGACTTGCTGCTGATGATGGTGTTATTCCAATATTTGTCGCTGAACAGGATGATGATGATCCACCACTTCGTGCTTTTATACGTTCCA